CACAAAAAAAAAGAAAAAAAAAGATGCTCTTCCTCCCGCGAGGCCAGGCGATCGAGGAGGCTTTGTGGCTGGCGACCTCGTGAATGAGTCTCCATTAGCGGTTATTGGTCATTATTCGGCGCAGGGTCGGGCCAGGCACAGGGTGAGGGGGGGGGGAGTTCGCAGGAGCTGGTGGGGTCCCGGGATGACCATACTTCCGCCAAGGTCTGTTGCCTGAGTCAGCCCCGTGACGTGGCGCTCTTGGCCTTAATACCTGTTTACTCATCTCCCCTTCTTCCACTTCCCTCTTTCGGTAATCGCTGGCTCCCTGATTCACTCTTTTTTCCTTCGTCATCTTCGCGAGCACGCCGCCCGGAGCCGCCTGACCTCCCCCGTAGAGGCTCATTCATCCTTTTTCATCTATTGCTGCTTCTTTAACCCCCTCCTCATTTTTCTCTCTACCACTCCCTCTTTTCTCTCTTGCCCCTCTCCCCTTTACATTCGTGTCTTCCTCCCCTCCCCCCTCCCTCTCTTCCTTTTTCTCCCCCCCCCATCTCATTTCCCTCTCTCTCCCTTTCCTTCCCCCTCTTTTCCCCCTCTCTCCCTCTTCACATCCCCTACCCTTCCTCCCCTCCCTCTCTGCCTTCCTCTCCCTCTCTCCCTTCCCTTCCCTCTCTCTCCCTTCCTCTCCCTCTCTCCCTTCCCTTCCCTCTCTCTCTTACCTTCCTCCTCCCTTTACCTGATTCTCCCTCTCTCCTTCCCTCTCCCTTTACCTCTCTCCCTCTCTCCCTTCCTCTCCCTCTCCCGCCCCATTCCCCTCCCTCCCCCTCCCCGCTTCACCCCCTTGTCTCCCTTGCTTCCCGTTCTGCTTCATCTCTGTATTTGCCTTGGCCCGCCCCCCGGCCGGTCCAGCGCTACCTGATTTGTATACACCCGCAGACATGCCTCGGTGCTCAGGCCCTTTGTCAACTTGGGGGAAAAAAGTTCGTCGTCATTTAGCCGGGCAAGGAAGGCATCGCATTCGGCTGGTGTTTTGTGGCTCGGTGAAAATAATACTGCCGTGCTGGTGGGGTTTTGGGAGGGAGGGGTGGCGGGGTAACTGTTTAATCTAGACGTCCATACGTATAATATTTTAGATTTAACACACGGCGCACAACAACACACTCTCTCTCTCTCTCTCTCTCTCTCTCTCTCTCTCTCTCTCTCTCTCTCTCTCTCTTCCTCTCTCTCTCTCTCTCTCTCTCTCTCTCTCTCTCTCTCTTCTCTCTCTCTCTCTCTCTTTCTCTCTCTCTCTCTCTCTCTCCTTCTCTCTCTCTCTCTCTCTCTCTCTTCTCTCTCTCTCTCTCTCTCTCTCTCTCTCTCTCTCTCTCTCTCTCTCTCTCTCTCTCTCTCTCTCTCTCTCTCTCTCTCTCCTCTCTTCTCTCCCTCCCCTCCCTCTCCCTCCCTCCTCTCTCCTCCCTCCCCCTCCCCTCCCCTCTCCCTCTCCCTCTCCCCCTTCCCTCCCCTCCCTCTCCCTCTCCCTCTCCCTCTCCCACACTTCTGTGTGTGTGTGTGTGTTTGTACGCGTGTACTTGAGTGTGCTGGTGTATTTTGATATCTCTATGACATTTTATTAAGCGGCGTGCAAAGAATCTCACGCATTTCCCAAACGTGGATACACGAGAGATGACACGAGCCTTCAACACGGGATACTTTATTTGGACCACCATTCGCGACTCGTTTCTATTCTCGTTTGTTGTTGTTTTGGACCTGAATGCATACTGGCAAACGCACTTCCTGTATCGCTACACGCTCTCCACCTGTCTCCTCCAGTTTCATTCCCTACATCCCACGCGGCCACCTAAATCCTATCCTACCCCCCTCCCCCCTCCTTGCCCCTCTCATTTCCCTCTCTCTTCTCTTCCTCCGTCTCCATTCTCGTGGTTCCTCTTTCCCCCCTCTTTCTATCCCTCCTCCTTTCCAACTCCCCCTCTTCCTTACCCATTCTTGCCCTCCTCTTTACTTATTCTCTCCTCCTTTCTCCCCTATTCCCTTCCTTCTTTTCCATCTCCCTTATTCCCTTCCGTTCTTTCCCATCTCCCCTTATTTCTTCCTTCTTTCTCATTCTCCCTCTTTCTCTTCTTTCCTCGTCCTCCCCTGCTTTCCCCACTCTCTCCTCCTCCTGCTTCCCTATTCTCTCTCCTCCTCCTCCTTCCCCATTCGCTCTCCTTCATCCTGCCCCTCCCCTTCCCTCCTCCTCCTTCCCTGTCCACAGCATTAGGTCATCCATGCTTTTAGCGCGCCCAGCCCATGTCGCTTCGCCACCTGATTGTCCTCTCGCTCCTTCGCTTACGCCATGGCCTTCTACGCAGTGCACGCCCACGCCCGCGAGGCCCATACGGCGAGGTTCGATGCCGCCGCCGGGATTTGGTCTTTTCTTTGTGTGTCCTAAATGTGTGGCTCTTGAATGACGTCCTTATATCCTGTGGTTGCTGAGCTACATGTATTGTTAAAGAAGCCAACACAATGGGACTTCCCGGAGCATCCTGGATCGGGGAGCAGCGAGGGCGGGTCGGGTTTCGAGAGGCCTGGCGGACGAGCGACGGTTGGCGGCGATACTTGGCGGGTTGGCGTGATTTGCGGTAGCGGAGCGCGGGCGGGCGGGCGCCAGCCGTCACGGCGCTAGCGGAAGTTACCTCCAGTGGGCGTTAAACCTGGAGCTGCAGCGGGTGAGAACCCCGTGTGTCGTTACTCCCGCTCCCACCTGACACCAGCGCTGCCCTCACCTGTCTCCTCCTCACCTGGACTGATGATTAACTCAGACGAATTCCAGGGCATGTCTCGTTGGGAATCTGAGGCGCCCAGAAGTTACCTTTTCACGCTGGTTAGGCCAGCCGTTGTCCGCTCGCCGCTAAGCCTTCGTCCTCGGCCGCGCTGACCCTCTCCTGCAGACCGGCATTCCGACGATACCTAGTGAGTGTCCGTGCGTATGCCGGGCTTCCGTTGCGGCTTCCGCGGTGGAATGCGTAATGGAGAGCCCAAGATTTCCCTTCCTGGCAGTGCGCGCTTGGCATTTGTTCGGCATATGAAGCGGCCTTCACTCCGCGCCGAGGCTGAACGACGGGGAGTTTGTAGTGTGAGGGTGACCATAAACCGACCAGCTCACCCGCGCGGCGCAGTGTGGAGATGGTTGCGGCGGCCGGCGACCATGGGAAAATACACGGTGCCGCCCACTCCTGCCTCCTCACCCCCGCCCGCCCCCGGAGTATTGTGCGGCCGGGAGTGAGGTCTCAGGCCGTCTTAAACAGAAACAAGAGTTCCTGAAACGATGGTGATTCATTTGTCAGCAGGTTTCGTGTCTTTGTTTACGTAACCGGAAGGTGTTTGGTTAGGCAGGAATTGAACACATTTAGCGTTGCATAAGAGCGCAGAGAGGCAGCCAGCAAGGAGGCCGAACGAGTGGGAAGGGAAAGTGGGGAATAAACAGCATTGCGGAGGTGCCCCGGCGCTGCCTGGACACCGGACGTAGCCGCCGCCATGAGTCACGCCCCCCCCACCCCACCCCCCAAACACACAATGTACACTCGGAACTTAATGACCAAGAGAAAACACGGCGCCACGTCATGACTGCCGACTCAGGGGAGCTTGTACCATGCACATCATGCCGTGCGTCTGCCGAACCGCTGTCGCAATGTAACGTGGATTTTAATATTACAACATCCTGCCATGGTAGAAACACTACATCAAAAGGGGGGAGGGGGGAGGGGGGTGAGCAGTGCACGGACAGTATGTGCGTTTACACAGGAAGGCGAAAGGTGCTTACTCAGCGCTTATTAAATAACAAGAGCATACAGCTGAGGCGGATGGACGAGAATGAAAGTGTTGCAAGATGTTTGCAACTGCCGCACCGCTTGTTTGCATGTTGAACGCATCTGTTTGATATTTGAACAAGGCCATAAGCCTGCAAGAACTAGTGTCGCCGGCGTATGCTTCTAATGGAGGAGTCTTTTATTTGAGATTAAAAGCAAGAGAAAAACTTACGATGGCTTTTTTTCGAGGCCTTATATTTGTCTAAAACGAAGAACTATAATTTCTGTCAGCGTTAATATGTTTGAAGATTTTTTTTCCAAGTTCCAAGAATGTATCAGGAATGTAAGAATCATTACCTTTTTTCGTAAATGCGAGCACATCGTTACGGTCCATTACCTGCGTGGAATGCAGCGTTATGGTGAGGCGAAACAGGTACACGCTCTCATTACCCCTCATGAGCTGCCTGTGGGAAGGTGGTGCCGGACCCTCCCGCCTTCCCTCACACCCACATGGTCCTAAATGTATTCCCTCATTTCACGTGTTTCCGAAACCCCGATTTCACAGTTTACATCCTTGTGGGAAATTTCGGACCCGCGGCAATGTTCACACGGCGTCGGGGGCGCGTTGTCGGCGAGATGAACGCCGTCTTGAGCCGCACCTGGGGGCCCCCCGAGGACCAGGTGGCATTGTCCTCGCGTTGGAGGCTTATTAATTGTCGGCGAGGCCGGGCGGAGGCGAGCCGAATCCAGGCCTCCTCGACAACGCGCATTAACGAGGTACAAATGCGGCCAACGGGACAGATTTGCCGGCGCGGCGCTGACAAACGAGCGGGTCTTGCGCGCATTGTTACCTTACACGTGGCGGGGGGAAACCCGGGGACAAACTGCGTGGGTGGACGCAAGGGCGGTTGATGAAGAGGTGCGGATTGTGTGCGCCGGGAGGGAATAGACCTCTGGATGAACTTGGATGAACTGGCGGGAAGGCGGAGGAGGAAGGGCAGGCCGGCGGGGACTTCAATGCGTTGGTCAGACTTCACTGCCTTGGCCTGGGACGGGCAGTGTCAGCGCTTCGTCTTTATTTGTGTTGCATTTGATTCTGGGGTTGGACCTTGCTGAATAATATGGACTAGTCGAATTGTGTTGGGGGGAGGAGA